CCCGATGGATTGCATGAAATCATACATTGATTTCTCATTTTGATAAAGCCGAGACGATAATCCCAGCAGAAGCCGTTGATTGGCTCTTCATAAGCACCAAGATCCTCGGCTGGCAAGCCCAAGAGGTTCAACCGTTGTGTCAGATTGGGTTAGTTTCTGATCATCTGGTTTCCCATTTTAATGTAGGCGGTTAAGAGGCAGCGACGGCTGCTGGCTTTAGAAGGGAATTAGACATATTCCCAGATGGATGTGGGCCGTTGCCGATTCCTCCTTGCGAGTGCCAAGTGGAACTGCCATGTTCAGATCTAGTTTACCTTTATTGCTGTGGAATAAAGAGAGCATCAACTGCCAGAAATCTCTTGCTGGCATGTAAGAAGGAGAATACTAGATCAAAAATCTTGTTAGTCTGTTCCTTTCATTTGACTGGGGCATCTTGATTGAACACTGCAGTCTCTCTAGTTGGTTTGGCCTCTCCTTTCAAGCCAACATTTCTTGCACCAAAGATTCCAAAACGCTTTAGAGTGCACAGGGCGGAAAGAATTAAGTACAGGCAAGTCCCCGACTTAACGACCACCATCGGGAGCAAGGTGGTTCTTAAGTGAGTTGAGCCTGATTTTACGACCTTTTTTCTGCCTTGGTTGTTAAGCGAATCACTGCACTTGTTCAGGGAATTAGGCAGTCGTTAAGCAGGGCAAGGTGTAACAGCTGGAAGCTTATCCAGGAGAGAAGCAACTAGAACTAAAGAGAAATTTCCTCACCATGAGAACAATTAACCAGTGGAACGACTTGCCTCCAGACGTTGTGGGTGCCCCATCACTGGAAGCTTTGAAGAAGGGACCAGACAGCCATTGGTCTGGAATGGTACAGGGTCTCCTGCTTGAGCAGGGGGTTGGACTAGATGACCTCCAAGATCCCTCCCAACTCTGCCATTCTGTATTCTATTCTGAACCTGACTTCCCTCTTTGACTTGGCTTGTCAGAAGCTCCTGGGAAGGTCCACATATAATCTTCCCACCCACCATTTGTCCGAAATGGTATAGGGTTTCCTGCCTGAGCAGGGGGTTGGACTAGATGACCTCCAAGGTCCCTCCCAACTTTATTATTATTATTATTACCCCTTAAAATGTTTACAACTCCTGGTTTTGCTTTGCAGGGTGATGGTGTACGACCTCCGCAGAAGCGATCCCGTCTCCTCGCTTTACGGACACCAGTTGGGGGTCTCGGCGGTGCAGATGGACGACTGGAAGGTGGTCAGCGGAGGAGAGGAAGGGCTGGTCTGCGTGTGGGACCAGCGAATGAGCACCAAGCTGTGGGAGGTGCACGCCAGGTGAGACCTTACCTGCTTCCTGGCTCCCAGTTCCTTGAACTGTGTATCGGATTCTTATTGCAGGCGAAGCCAGGAGATAGATAGATTATACAGGTGGTCCTCAACTTACGACAATCTCTGTTGATAAGTTACTAAGCCGGTTGTTAAGTGAACCTGGCTTCCCCATTGACTTTGCTCGTCAGAAGGTCACAAACGGTCACATGACCCCGGGACGCTGCAGCCGTCATAAATACGAGTCAGTTGCCAAGCGGCCGGATTTTGATCGCATGACCCCGGGGAGGCTGCAGCGGTCCCGAAGGTTGAAAGACAGTCCTGAATCATTTTTCCCAGTGCTGTTGTAACTCCAAATGGTCACTAAATGAACCGTCGTAAGTCAAGGACCGCCTGGGTAGAGAGAAAGTGAAAACCTGAACCGCTTCAGTCGGTCCTAGGATTGACAGATGCCCAGGCTTCCTTCTAGCATCACAGCTGCCCGATTTGCCGTACAGATGGTCCTCAACTTACGACATTCGTTTAGCCACCTGTTGAAAAGAAGAGACTTACGACCATCAGCATCCCCATGACAACCACATCCCTCAGTGACGAAAGTTCCATTCCCAATTGTGGCCGTATGTTGAGGACTTACCTGCATATCTGTAAGATTCTTGAGTCACACACAACCGTTTTTCTGCCCTTATTCCCTTCCCTGCTCCGGCTGCATTTCAGAAAAGCTTCACTAGAGGGCGCCCAATGCTCTTTTTCTGCTTTTAGTCTCTCTCTCTCTCTCTCTCTCTCTATATATATATATATATAATATATATATATATATTTTATATATATATATATATATATCCCCGAGATACGAGCCTAATAGAGCCTGCCCATTAGGCCCCTAAGTCAAAAATCTCACCAAATGAATCAGACTCAATATTACAACATTTTAAAATCAAACTCACTAACTGAATGAAATGAGTCGTTAAATGAAGAAAGATCTGACTTACTGTTTCCTCCAATGGCTGCCTGGACCAGGAGATTTTTCCACGGCTGCCAGCCGCCAATCAGCTGTTTCTGATTTCAGGAACTACAGGTAGCAGGTAGCAGGCTTTTTAAAAAAAAATAAAAACAAAAAACAGTTTGTTGCTAGGCAGCTCAAGCTAGGCAGAATTTAACAGAATCTCTGATTTAAAAATAAAATAAAATGCCAGCCATTAGCTTAAGCCAGG